AAATACATAACTTGTATTTATTGCAATTTTGCAATTAAAGCAGCTTTACAGAAGTGAGGTCCAAACCCCTGTGAGCAAGCCAAGGGCAATATGGTGAACCATTGGAAGAAACCAAGACCCAAAAGGAGAAACTCTATAAGAGTGTGAGGAAGAAACACCAAGAGGAGCCAAGACTCAAGGGAAACCTGTCCTCTTACTCCTACTTCTATCAAATGTCATGTAATAAACACAGCCTGAGAATTAAATCAGGTGGACTAGCAATTGAGGTAGGTTGAATGTTAGCTATGAGAACACATTAACATGAATAGGTAAGAAACTCAATATAGTGAAAGGCAAGTGTCCAGTGTCCACAACTGTTTAGGTGTTTGTGCAGGGGTCAGTCGTCCCCTAAGTTTGAAACCGTCCTTACCGGGTGGAAACAACAGCTAAACTACTGCTTTGCTTCTGCTTCCCTTTCGGCTAAAGCTAAAGCTCAGGCAAATAGTGGTTTATGGAGTTAATGGAATAGGGTCAGTGGAATGAGTCACCCTGTAGGGGAAGCGGGCTGGTAAGCTTCACCTGCTGGCAAGTGAGAGAGAGAGAGAGAGAGAGATGGAGAGCTACTGAGGCTTCAGGTTCAGCCCAGCGCAGATGAAAAGGCCAGCCTTATAATCCACTTGACATTTCAGCGGAGGTTGGCCAGATTACTGTAATGTCACACCTGCTTTGGAGGGGAGAAACAAAGGGAAAACGGATTTCCCTTGAGAGTAGCGGATGTCTTTCATGACCCAAAAAAGAGCCTGTAGCTTTGCTCCAAGTGTGACGATGAAATATCACTCATGCCACAGAAATAGACTCGACCTTGCTCCGAGTGCTCCTCTCACTCTCTTTCTCTTTTTCTGCCATCTCTCCAGCTTCAGCTGTGCTCCAGAGTCATAATAATCACAGCTCTGATGACAGCTGGACATGCCATCAACCTGTGCCCCACAGTCCCCTTACAAACCCTCGCCCTTTCCTTTCATGACTCTCCTCAGAAAACCTTCTCGTCTCACACCTCTCAACTCTATCATGCTAGCCACGCTTGTCTCCACCGGTGATGAACCAAATGGGAGATGAGGTGAAAAATGACAGCTGTGTGGTTTGTATCACACACTCCAACCTGAGGCACTGCTGGCAAAGCTCTTCGCATTCCTAATTAAGAGCCTAGCAAGTACTAAGCCATATACCTGCCAGTAACAAACAGATTATAATCCAGAAGCTGAGAGTAAATGGATGAGACACTCTGCTGACAACCAGCACAGGCTGCTCTCTCATCGAGACAAGTGCTGAATGATAGATGGTCTTGGTAGAAGGCTGGTGTAGTATCAAAGCTACAGATCTCGGAGCAAGTCATTATGTCATTGTGCAAATCAACACAGGCTAGTCCTAAATCAAGCCACAAGTAAAGACAGGCTAGTCTGAAGTCATGATAGTTTAGTCCTAAATCAAATCCCAAGTTAAAATAGGCTATTCCTGTGTTGTAAGTCTAGAATGGCTAGTATTATGTCAAGTGTTAAGTCCCAAGTCCTAAGTCAAGACAGACTAGTTGCAAGTCAAGATAGGTTAGTGCCACATCAGGTCTTAACTTAAGACAGGTTAGTTTTGTTATGACTTTTCATTTTCAGAATGTTCAATTAGTTAGTCTGAGAATGTTTTTACAAAATGTTTGTACACGTTTCTACAACATTACTGCAACATTATGAGAACCTTATCTGTAGGTTACTAAAACATTTTCTGGATGTTCTGAGAACATTTTTATGTAATTTAAAAATAAATAAATAAACAGCCCAAATCAAGACAGACTAGTCAAGTTTAAAATCCTGAACTTTGAGTCCTAAACAAAACTGAATGCCTTCTTCATTAAATTTAATGCCATTTAAGCATTTAAATAAAATAATGCATGCACACACACATTTTATAAGCCGCTTATCCTTCTGGGTTGCAGGAGGAGCTGGGACCTATCCCAGCTCTCTAAATAAAGTAATAGTAGTATATAAATATAAATAATGACTGCTTTTTTAATCACCAGCATTTACACCAGTTTACTAGCAGCTTATTTCACTAGCACTACCCATTGATCCTTTACTAGCAAGCTATACAAACCAATGGTTCCTTATGTGCTAGTCAGCTAATAAATAACTAGCTTGCTACTTCAAGCATATTTCTAGTGTAGTTCTGGCATGGCTACACCCAAAACTAATTCATTTACAATGAAAAATATCTTTTTATATCTGTTTTAAGAAACCTGACCACAGGCAGATGCTTCAATCTTCTTCCACTTTGGGCTTGTCAAGGGTCTGAAGTCTTTTTGAGTCTTAAGGCCTAAGAGTCATTGGTGAAAAAGTGAAAGATGAGTCTTTTTTTATTTGGTTATTTTGTTGTTGTTAATTAAAATTTTGACTCAAGCCTTTTACTCCCCTGAAGACCACCCCTCTGTTCTGCTTTGTGGAAACAAGAACTGTTGTTTCACCTACCGGGAGACAGTGCACAAGTGTCTGGATCTACTAAAAGTAAAAATGATATTAACCTTTTAGCATTTTTCACAGTGAGGATGTTGTATGTTTGTGCAGTTTGATTCTGTATGAGTCCATGGTTGTTATTTTTTAGGCTTTATATCTAAAACCCCAGGGTTACAGGTTCAATCTAGCATAGAGCAAAACAAATTACATTAAGTGTCAGGACTACAAGAAAGAAACAAACAAAAAACAAACAAGAGACAAACAAAAAACAAGATTGCATTTACAGATCTTGTGTTCTTGCTCCCTGCTAATTAGCGTGACTTTAATTTGCAGTATTACGCGGCCTGTCCTAATTTTCTGGACGCTGTCTTACCTTGACACATTCACAACAATGATTTTCAGTCTACAGGCTGAGGGTCTGATCTTTGTAATGCTTTTATTTCAAAGGCTCAAACTAAGCCTGATCTCACTGTTGCACGCAAGATGAATCTTCTGGCTGGTGTACCAGAACTTTTCATGCTCTTAATTGGATTCACATTAAGCTTGTTTATAGGGCCCAGTCCACCTCATTTAAAGCCAGTTCAAATGTAACTCTCTGCAGAACATAACTGACCAACACCCATCACTGAAACAACAGGGGTATCTGCATGCGTGATCCACACTTACCTCAAATATGAAGCCACTCTTTCCATGTCTATATCTGTCAGTATGAATTATACACAGTATGTCAAAAAAAGGTTTAAATTTTAGGTTTTAATATGAAAACTACATGATCATATAATCACAAGTCCTGCCACATAAACAATGGCAAGGCAGGTCTGGATGTAAAGAGGATTTTCAGTGCAATGTAATACTGTTACACTGTAGTGCTTTCTTTAGTGTGTGTGTGTGTAGCATTTCTCTTTAACTAATAACAGTCTGCACAAGTAGTGAACTATGTGTGCAGTGCAGTTACCATCCTGTGCCCTCAGTTTAAAATCACGTGGTCTTCTTTCTATCATCGTTACTGCATGGCTTTAGTCATAAGCCATTTCGCATGAGGCGATGCTGCTATTACTGTCAGAGTTAATGCACCCTGTATTCAATAAAGGCAGAATAAAATCATGGGATTTAGTTAACCGTGGTTGCCTTAAAGCCACTGGACCGCAAACTTGCTCTCGAAGCAGGTCCCGCCTCAGCCAATGAAGAGGTCCGTTTTCCCCACCCATATTCCAACAAGCCCCGCCTGCTCCGCTAGGATTGGCTAGTGGTAACTGCGCTAGGAATGGGCTGGTTATAGACAGGGCTATTGGTCTATCCGCGGACCTTTTTCTGTGCCGGTAGCCAATCCGGGCCCAGGAGGCGTGGCCTGTCGGAAAACGGGTGGGAGAATATATTTACTATCACGTTCACGCCATTTAACAAACGCTCTTGTCGTCCACTCAGAGAATGAACTCTGATCTAGAATAAATCGGTACACCACAAAATACCCTTGAGCTAAGATACTGGCAGAAACAAGGATCAGTGCGGATACCTAGACAGAAAGATACACTCAGTACAGAAACAAGACATAACAATAATACTATATTACCTTAGAAATGTCTATGAAAAGCAAAAACGGTGGCTATGGTTTCACTGAGGTTTAAAGAGATTTAATGCGGTTGGCCCAAATTACACATTAGACTACGTTTCAATGGAGTGCTTGTCAAACTAGCCAGATATAGCGCAGGTGTAGGGACCCTCCAGCCAATCCTGGCAGGAGCAGGACTGCTGCTAGCCAATCATAACGAAGTAGGCGGGGATTGACTGAAAACGGGTGGGGATTTTGGGGAAAAAAGCAACAACAATAGCAGCGCTAGTGCTGTTATGCAGCGCCTGTGTAAGTTGGCGCTCCTCCTGCTGGTCGGACACATGAACTGCACATTCCGGCTCCTCCCAAGTTCGGTTGCCCGGCAGCGTCATGGATGCTGTTCCGACGAGCGGAGGAAAGGAGAGGGGGACCGATTACAGGAGCGGAGAGAAGAGCCCACGGATTCGGAGGACCCACAGTAAACTAGCTCCCCTGAAAGCAGCTACATGAAGTGGAGGTACTCCTCTGAAACCCTGCGCTGCGTGAAGTGAGGGTGCGGAGGGGCGGCGCTAGTGGAGGGATGAATGAAAACACGGCGTTGCACTGAGCGAGCAGCTAGCAGAGCTATAATAACAGCAGACAGCAGCAGCGAGCAGCGAGCCTGGGTACTGTTTGTTTGTGGGAACGCTTGTTTCGTTGGGCAAGGGCGTCTGAAAGGGTGGGTTGTAACAGGGGGGGCGTGTGTCCACAAGCTATGAATTAGGCATCGTCTTAAGTGGGAATTAAATGGGGTCAAACGCCTGCACGAGGTGCACGTAGACTTGTGGAGAGACGATGTTGACCCTCAGACGCAGCTCCACTCACCTAACACCTGATCTGACCAGGCTGTCGGTCTCTCGGTCTGTTTAATTAGCTCGGTGACTTATTCATATACATCGAGCTGCAAACAAGCTGCGTCTGTTTAATGCGTGGGATGGTTCTATGTGTAAAAGTAGCCTGCATTAGTGTGCCCTGGGTGATTCCCACGTTCAGATAAGAAGCATTCAGACATTTCATCTCAGACGCTTCAAACAGGCTGAAATATATTTCAGATACGGAGCCAGTTAGTCAGTTGATTGAGCCATTTTGCCTGATTGGTTAGTTTTGATAGTCTAGTCTGTTTTAGTTCGTGCTGTTCGGGGGAACATGAGCCTCAGATGTAACCAGCCGCGGACGTACAGAAGCGTTAAAGCGCCATGTAGCCTGCTAGAGAGCTGAAAGTTAAACGGAAAAGGCGCTGAGAGAAGTTAAAGGTGCGCGCCGTCGCTGGAACGCAGTAAACCCGCAGGAGGGAGGAGGGAGAGGAGGAGGAGAAGGAGGTGGGGGATGATCCCTGGCGGAGCGGTTGGCAGAGTAATCGGCCACACTGAGAGCGGATTTGGCCAGATTAGCCACGGACTGCTGTTCTGTTCGCCTTCACGCGGCCGGTGAGGTGGAGGAGCGCGCGCAGCTCCGCTCTGCTTGCGCTTTTACGCACACTGCGCACTCGGGGGCGCGCTGAAGTGCGCGAACCTGGACACTTCGCGCGGTGATCTGGGTCTCCAGCGCGGACTGATCAAGCCCTAAAATGTCTCTGAGCGCTGAGAGGGATCCCCTTGGTAGCAGCGCGCGCCTGTAGTAACAAAGCGCCAACTAACTGTGGACCTGTGACCTGTTGAGTCGAGGCGATCCTCAGTGGGCGAGGATGCTGTTTTACAGACCAGCCGGGCTTTGTGAGTAGGAGCCCTCGGTGAGCCCCCCACTGGCCCTCTGTGAGGATGCTGCGCTTCCCGCTGAAGAAAATCAGGAAGCAGTTCAAGCTGCTGCTGCTGCTGGTGCTGCTCACCTTCGCCGTGTGGTTCACGTACCTGCACATCAACCAGGGCAAAGCCATCAAACTCCACTTTAACTACGGCAAAGGTAGGAAAAGGGTCTGCAGTGTTTTGAGCTATGGATGCTCAGGGTTTCTCTTTCTGTGTTAGTGGTGTTTTCTCTATGCAGTGCAATATGATCTAACCAATCAGCTAATGAGCAGCCTTTTTGTAATGTTAGAATGGGAAAGAAGGAAATCACTAAAACAGGGGTCATCATTTCTGACCATGGAGGGCTGGGTTTCAGCACAGTTGTGTTTTTCCTGCTCAAACACTCATTGGTAGAGGTGGCACAATGCCATGTTTTCTTTTCTGATACTTATAGCGACCTTGAAAGCTTGACTATTGGCCAATACTGATCTGAAATATATTCTTTAAAAACTACTAAGCTTTAAAATTAGTTATTTTTTATTGAAGTGCTTAAGATGAGCATCTAGAAGTAGGTAAACATGCTCAAACTATCCCAACACTCTGCCTCCCCACAGGTATTCTTGCTGTGCCAGACATGATATCACAACGAGAGCGTCCTGAGGCAACCATAGGACATTTTGGGCTAAATAAAAGTGGGAACATAGACTTGTTAAGGTGGAAGTCTGAAATTTCTAAACCAGTCCAACACTTTGTAAAGGCGGAGCCCAAAGTATGGGGTGCTCGTCAACATTGTAAGCTCATGGCTGCAGTGTGTTAGCATGGCCCCCCAAAAATAAGACCCTCCAAATAAGCATGTAGACATTACTTCTTGCAAGGAAAAACCATTTTAATTTGGTTAGGATAGCATTTCTGTAGCTACCTTGTTTTGGTTGTGTTATTGATTATACTCCAGATGTTAAAAGAGCATGGGCTATTTGGGGGCAGGTTTAAGAGAGGTTGTGCTCTTGTTAGCGACAGATTTTGCTGCAGTGCAGCACCAAAACTGTAAGAAGTTGTCCCCAGACATATATTCTCATTACAAGATCACATTAGAAGACTACACCGCATGAAGCAATACACAGCTAACAACTTGACATCACATGGTGTGAACGTGTGCTATTTCAGGACAGATTTGTTACAGGAGTAGATCAGATTCATTATTTTTTACTCCAATATTCAATCCAGCATTTTCTGCTGATATCAACCCAGTATAGATATGTGGTGTCAGGTTGGTGCCATCTCTACCTATTGGTGTACTAATGTTTAGTAGGTGTACTAACAAGTTTAGTGGTGTTTCTGAGCAGGAAGATCCCCAAACTGTGCTGGAACTGATGACCCCTTTAGGACCAGGGTTGTAAACATTGACCTACCACAGTAGGGCCATCTGCAGTCCTGGTGGCCAGTCTCGCTCTGATACACCTGATTAGTAGGTGTGTATATGAGTAAGAAAACTACCGGTCTACTGCAACCTGACCCTCCAGTCCCAGCTGGCCGCTGCTATTGTAGATCACTTGCTTTGCTTACTGTGATTTGCACGCACAAAGAGAGGTTTGTTTGTTTGAGTTCCGATTGCGTAGCCTACTTTTGAGTCCTGCTCTCAAGTTGCATTGTCTCATTTAATGTTCCAGTTGTGCTTTTTTCCGTATATGTTGAGACAAGACGAAACAAAGCGTGCAAAAGCATTTCCACACAAATTAGCAATACGCTTTCGCTGCATTTGGCTTCGGTTCGGAATGAGCACAATATGAAATAAGAGATGGAAGGGGCTCGTTAATGATTAAAGACTAGATCGTAAGTACTGATGCTGGGGTCATGCCGTGATGTCAAATGTAAGTAATGCCGTCAAACTGCATTGTAATTATTTTCTACCAGTCATCTGGCATTATTTCAGGATGCATGGCTTACTGTAGCCCGCAGCATCGGTCGAATTAAAGGGAGATGGTTTGTGGCTATTGAGGTATTTCAGTTCCTCTGTTGGAATAAGAGAGTAGAGCAGAAAAAAGCATCAGTTGTAACTGAAGACGATTTAATGCAGTAAAGGAGTTGTCAGCCAGTGAATGCAATGAGTGTAAGTGTCAAGCAAGCCAGTTCTGTGCCATTGCATCATAATGCATTTCTGCTGGAAGAGGCTCTCTCCATGTTTAAGTATCACTCAGAGCAAAGCATCATAATTCCCCAGCAGACAGATGCACGATTGGCGGAGTGAAGACTGGACTGCATTTTGCCTGCGGTAAAGAGTGTGTGCTGAGAGACTCAGTCAATACTGAGCTAAAGAGTGTCTGTTTTGCTCTCAGAGTGAGGTGTGGGGAAGCTTTTTTTCTGTCTCTGCATTGCTGTTTTAGCACACACGCAGACTCCCTCTCTCTTTCTCTCTGTTTCTTTTCTCGTTGTAGTTCATTATTAGTACACTTGTTACAGCTTGTGCTAACCCTTTGTGATTTCAGGTCAGGCTAATTGTTGGCAAGGCACAACTTTTGCATACTGAGGAGATCAACATGAAAAACTGATTAGCGTTTTCTTCCCAAATATCATTTGTCTCCCATGTCTCTATGCTGGAGATGTCTATATGCTGGAGTTTGCATGTAACAGTGTAACAATTCTTTGATTCTGTATGCACTTCAGCACCATTACAGTCAACCTCAAATCAAAACTGATATTTTACCTTGTTAGTTCATGTACCTGGTCATATTAAACACTACTCATCATACCATGCCAAGACAAAATGCCTGCCTCTAAAAGTTTTGTTTACATCACCATGCAGCCGTGTGAAATGAATATTATTAATCCATAATTTCATCTTTCATCTCCTTCTCCTATCAGTCCCACCTATCATCGAGCAAAGCGCTCAGCTAGATCAGAGACCCTCCCTTATGATAGTTTCAATCAAAATATGTATGATCTCCATTTTACATTGGCTTTATCTGCTTAGAAGGCCTTTACATTAATCCTTAGATCTTGCAGTTACCACCAGCTATAATTAAAACATGGTGTAATTTGGTATGATTTTTTTCTAACTCATAGCTCATTGAAAAACAAGCAGAGAAATTCTGTTAAAGTATGGATTCTAAATTTTTAATTAGGACCATGCTTGTGTTCAGAAGAGATTTTATTATGATTTGAATTCAGTGAAAAGTTACTGTTGTGTGTACAGCCTTGTTTTATGGAAAGAAAAACAATCCTTTACATTTTTCATGTTTTGACTTTGAAAGAAACCGAAAAAGGAAGAAGTGCTGACTGAAAACTTCTGATGCAGAATGCATCATTGTGTAATGTATTGTGTCATATATTATGTAATTATGTAATTTTGTTTGAAGAGTACATCAAAATGAAAGTAATGACTGAAATTTCATTCCAAAATGCTGCATATCGCTGTCGGAACAAAACCTCATATCTCCAAAATGATAACTTTACAGGAGAAGGAAAAAACATACTTTACTTTTAATGTAAGTCAATGGAACCAGATTTTTTCCCCAGTAATTTTGGATGATTTCTTTTGGTTCATTCATCATGAAATTCATATAAAATGAAAAGGACAACTGGCATTTTCAAATAATGTCAAAAACTGAAAAATGACAAAAATGGAGATACGAGGTTTTGTTCCAACAGCAGCAATATGCACTTGTACCAGCTGATGTACAATAAAAACACATTTTTATTTCTCTGGTATTGATATTAATCATAATTTTAGCTGTGCTATTTCTATTATATGTGAAGCTTACTCCCAACAATGTACACCATGAAAACAAGTGAAAATTATCTGTAATGCATTTTGGAATGAAAGCCTTCAACTCTTGATTTTTAAGGGTGGCTGTACTGTGTCTGATTTTGAAACAAAGTTTTGAGAGTAAGCTCTGGGTATAAGGAGCAGCCATCAGGAAAATGAAGACATTAGTTTCACTGCTGGAACAAAGCCTTTCACTTTGCTTACTTTTTCATCATTGTAAAAGGTAGAGTCAAAAACCCTCATGACTTATACTGGCATAAAAATGTTGCTCTGGATTCTTTGGTGCCGTTAAGGAAAAATAAATGTACCATGTTGTGCAAACTACCATTTGCCACTGAGCTAAACAAACTATATACAAAAATCACAGTGTGGCTTTTAGATCAGGCCACAATAACACAATTTGCATCAGTATTACATCTACACAAAACCAATACCGGGGATTACAGCACTCTGGTATAATGAGCATGTCACCCACTAGAAAGAAGGACAACCTGTACTGAATGGGGTCTAAGTGAGTGCAGCATGTATGCTAAAGGCAAAAAAACACAGAAGGTGAGTGTGCTGCACTCGTTCCCATGTCAGTTAGCACAGTGCTATAGGGCAGGCCTGATCCTGAGTGCTTGTCTGACAGTGGCTTTTGTGTGTCTCTCTTATAAAGGATCCTGTTTCTCATTAAGTGCTGCTGAACCCTCTTTCTGTAGTCCGGCTCTTTTCTCTAACTGCCCCAAACTGACCTCAATCATATCCCAGAGACCTCCGCTTCTGGCTGCACTAGCCTTTGAGTGGCCGCCAAATCACTCTCTTCACAAAAGCGGAGAGCCTCTCTCTTTCTCCCTCCTCTTGCCTGTGGAATCATTCAAGTGCAAATTGCTCCACTAATCCTATATTAGCTCAGAGATGTCTATGGAAAATAAATGTACACCACACCACGGTGTATTGGAATACAATTTAAAAAGCTGTCAAGCTTTACATGGAGCGATTTCACTGAGGTTTAATGAGGAACTGTAGCTGCTCCCAAATGTCACATTATATTTTACCTCAGGACTTACAGTGGTCAGACACACTGTAAGGGCTGTGATTTTCTTTGTAGCTGAGTGAAAAAAGTGAAGGAATGCACACAGGTGAGCACAAGGTGTGGAGAGTACAAACATATGCACATGTGTCTGTAAGGACTATATATCATGGACTATATATCTTACCCTGTATGTCCAAAAGTTTGCTCATCCAAACGTTCCTGAACTCTGAAATCAAGGGGGTTAGTATAGTGTTTGTCTATTTTTGCTGCAATAACAGTCTCAACTATTCTGGGAAGAACTTACTCTAAATATTGGAACATTGCTTTGAGGACTTGATTGCATTTAGCCACAAGTGAGGTCAGGTACTGATGTCAGATGGTCAGTTCTGGATTACAAACT